GACAGTCTATATATAGCTAAGCTATGGTGCTGACTATACAGGTACATATAGCTGTATGCACAGGTGCAAAAGGTTAAGCACCCCGCCTTTGCACAAACGCTAGTGTAGTGCAAATCCAGTGAAACTGTACAAAAGAAACTGCCGCTCACACACTGCTCTCATTATATTTTTCACTGAAGGCTTTAGCTAGTCACCCCATCCTGACTCATCTTCATCGTCAGTGGGAATGTCAGTCAGTTGTCTCATCATGTACAATGCCCTGTGTCTCTGACTGGCGTCGTTTTGACAAATCTTGATGACGCTCACCATAATCTGTCTCATTGCAGTGAAGCGCTCCACTCTCTGGACTTTGCCGTCCCTCATTCCCGATGAGATCTTCTCGGTCAACCTCTGGATCATCCAAAGGCACATGTGTTCTGGGCTCATGGGCTCAAAGGGCGACTCAATCTGCTGCTCTGCAAAGCTGTCTGGCATTTCAGGAGGGATCACGTCTTCCACTGCAGGTTCTGCCATCGCACACATCAGCTCGTGTAAGCCGTCACGAGCATCGAATTCATCATCATGTCGCTGCAGTTGCTCATGCAGGAAATGCATTTCGTTCACGGACTCTTGGGTAACTCCATGCTCTTCAAACTTGTTGTAGAGGCTCATGAATGACGCATACAAAGCCCAAAGCATCCAAGATTGAAAAAAATCAATCGCTATTGAAAAATTCAATCGTCTATTGAATTTTGCTTTAAATCAATAGAATTAGATGATTTTGATACTTTGCCAAAATCAATCGAGAAACCAAGAGGAAAAAAAACAAAAATCAATAGCAAAATCAATAGCAAAATCAATAGCAAAACCAGATTCTACCAGAAAGAAAACTATAATTTTGAAAAGATGTTTTCAGCCATGTGGCTGTAAGACTAGATGCATGGTGGTGGTGTTAAGAGCTGTCCAGCCCATCTTCTTTAACTGCTGGGGCTATCCAGCCCATTTTCAAGTGGCTGCCCAACTACTCAACCCAGCCCTTGCTTTGAGACTATCCAGCCCATGCTTCAGCCAGCAGAGGCTTGCAAGTGTCTGTTTTTTTTTGCACTACTCACTGCTGGATTCACTACTGTCATCCTCAAAGCTGAAATGCTTGGCTAGGACAAGGTGAAACACAAATCTAAATTTTTGGAGCGCTTTAATTCCCACTTTGTGGGGGGCTGTCCCCCTGGTGCAACTTGAGGTCATGTGCACCATGATTGACATAAAGCTTTCAGATCCATAGCACCAACATGTGGCAGGGTGCAAGTGGGCTGCCTGGGACCCCATGTGACACAGCACATGATGCTTCTGGGTCATGGAGTACAAATGTTTCCCTTCCTGCATGGCATCCTTTGCCAGCCAGCTATAATGGGCCAGAAGATTTTCTGTGTTGGAGTTGAAGGTTTTGCTAGCCTCTTCAAGCCATTCTTGCCATGGCACCTTCAAAGCATTGTACATATTGTTCAAAGCAGTCACAGCTTCCAGCCTGTGTTTTGGAGCTTTTCCTGCCTTGTACAGCTTGCAGAGTTCTACCATGATGGGGCCGAGCCACCTCACCCTTGCACCTTTTATGTGCTTCAAACTGGGGTATTCCTCTGAAGTTTTGGCTATATCGCTCATGTGGAGAGGCCTGATTCTCTTCCCACTAGGCACTTCTAGGGCATCATAGAGCCTCACCAACAGCCTGTTAAGGCTTGCCAGGTTTGCTTCCTTGCTTGTGCCACCCAAGCCATTCATGATTGAATATAGAACACTGCCATAAAGGTAGCAGCTCACTCCCAAATCAAGCAGGTGTAGGATGTCCAGTTTGAGGGTGAGGACTGACACCCCTGGTACCTTGAACAAGGGGTGCTTGAATTTCTTCGCCAAATCAGCTGCACTCAAAATTGTGCTTCTCCATGCTGCAGTGGGTCGCATGTCAGTAAAGGGCCTCTCAGATTCTTGCTTTTGATCTGCACAGCAATAAGGGCAAATCTCATTCGCATTTGGGTAAGGCCAGTTGAATTCTGATGCAAAAAACTCCAAATCTCCAGTAATGGCCCAAAGGACACATCTCCTCATTGGCTTGCCTCTGGGGCCATCTGCAGCCTGCCCCTCAAAGCCTTTCTTTGGTGTTCTGCCATTGTACAGAACTGTGAAGGACCAAGAGAGGCACTCCATGATCTTTCCCCAGGTCTCTTTGACAGCAGCTAGCTTGGGCATACAGGTGAGGAGCAGCTGGGACTCAGCAACGCTTTTCTTTGTCAACAAGCATCTCATCGACAAAACATGCACAGAATCATGCTCCAAAAATGGTGCTGAATCACCATGGAGTGCAAATGGCAGAGGCAATTGAGAAGGGTGAGCGAAGTCTAGGGAGTGCCACAGTTCAGGGCATTTCCTCATCTGTGGTGATTCTTTTTGGCTTCTCCAAAAAGTGGTCAAGTCTGAGTCTTTGCAAGACATGTTTTCCAACATATCTGCCTGATACAAGCACAGAATCCATTGGTGTGGAAGGAGCACCCAGACATCTCCAGCTTTCACAACTCTTTGGCCATCCTCCTTCAAAGCTATTGGGGCTCTGATTTTGAAAGGGGCTGGTGACTGCAGCTTCCCAAAAAACTTCCTGACAAGATCCCTGTGCACATTTCCTCCAGTCAGCCCATAACTGCCCAGCTGTGCCAAGGAATGTATATCTTGACTGTCACAACCAGACTTCACAGCACAGTGTGCAATCTCTTGAATTTCACAAGCACTCAACTTTCCTGTTGCAAATTTCCGCAAGAGAAGCAGCCCTAAAGGGCTGGGTTCAGCTGACATTCTTGCCCACTTGAGAGGTCAAAGCTGCAATGGAATTAGGCTTCACCTGGGCTTTCCAGCCCATCAAACTGTGCTTGTCCCAGATGTGCTTTGGATTTATTGGGCTATCCAGCCCACAATGGCTAATAGTGCAAGCACAAAGCAACTGGGCTATCCAGCCCACAATGGCCAATAGTGCAAGCACAAAGCAACTGGGCTATCCAGCCCACAATGGCCAATAGTGCAAGCACAAAGCAACTGGGCTATCCAGCCCACAATGGCCAATAGTGCAAACACAAAGCAACTAGGCTATCCAGCCCACAAAAGCACTAACAAAAAATAAGGATACCCAGCCCAGAACTTGTTTGACCCAAAGCATGCTTGCAGCCTTGACTTTTCTGCCACCATGCTTCAGCCTTTGCCTTCTGTGCCATCAGTTTTTTCTAAATCTACAAGTTTCAGGCCTCAGTGTTTCATGGCCTTGGCTGCCATTTGCTTCTTTGACTTCAAATCTTTCAAGGCAGTGCATGCCTGGGTGAGGACCTTGGCCAGCTCAGTTTTGGCACCAGTCTTCCCAGCCAAATGGGCAGTCACCTGCTTCAAAGCAGCTTGGCCATTTTTCTGGGACTCCTGCACCTTCTTCACCACTGCCTTGTGCTGGGCCTTCTGGCCAATGCTGAACAGAGCTGCTTCCACTGAGGCCAAGTCCTTGGTCAGCTCTGCTTTGAACAGAACCAATCTCTCCTTGAGTTGCTTCTGGCCTTCTCCTGCACTGACTTGGGACATCTGGTCCCACTTGTTTCCTTTGGTCTCTTTCTCTTCTTTCTCATCTTTCTCCTCATCCTCCTCCTCATCCTCCTCTCCACCTGCACCCTTCTTTTTCTTTGCCTTGAGGCCCATGGCAGCAGCCAAGCCATCATCCAGCCCCAAAGGCTTGCTGGGAGCAGCCTGGCTCAAGTCAAAATGGCGCTCATCCAAGTCATCATCATCCATCAGCTGGTTGAAGGCCATTGCTTCTGTCAGGCCGCCTGGTCCTTCCACTTTTCTATGGGCTTCCTTCTGCTTATGCAGGTATGTGGCTTCCTTCTCTGTGGTGGCTTGGAATTGGAAGAATCGCGGATCTTCTGGGTTTCTCCTCCACTTCAAAGTTCCAGCAGACAGTCTCAATTTCATTTCTTCTAGCCCTAAGTCCTCTTCACATTTCTTCTTGCTGACCCATGCCCTTTCCACTCCATGGCTCTTGTCTAGGCTCAACTTCATCATTGCACCCTTGTAGTGCTTATCACACTTGGCACCATCCATGGCCCAGCTGAGCAGCAAAGATTTCTTCTTGGCCACACTGCCAGCCCCATTGGTCTCTTCCTTGTACTTCTTGTCTTGGTCAGAAGACTTCCTGCTAGCCTCGAACTTTTTCCACAAAAGCTGCACCTGCTTCTCTGGCAATTTTGCAAGGGCTTGAGAGAAATCCTTCTCAGACATCTCTTCCTTCTTGGCTAATTCCTCCAGAAACTTTTCATGGTTAGCCAAGGCTTCCTTGGAAAGGGCAACATTCCTTTCCTCATCCTCACCTGTCTTGCTTTTCTTCTGGGTGTGGTTTGGTGCTTCTTTGGCAGCAGGCCTCTTGGCTGGCATGGCTCCCTAGATGTGAGGGCTATAGTGCTTCCTTATTGTTTGGGCAGTTCAAAATCCTGCAGCCACAAAAAATTGGCAGCAGAAAAGTTTTCCATGATTTTCTATATGTTTGAAAAGTGGTTTGGGACATTTTGGCATTCCATTTTCCAAAAATATCTTAGTTTAAGTTTTGTTTCAGCCATAGATTTTTTCATTGCAACCTAAAAATTTCCATTCAAAAACAAAAAATAAATTATTTTTTAAAACACATCCATAATTCTTAAAATAACTTGTTTTTCATGGTTATTCATGTGAATTCATGGTTTTTCATGGTTATTCATGTGAATTCATGGTTCTTCATGGTTCTTCATGGTTCTTCATGGTTCTTCATGGTTCTTCATGGCTTTTCATGTGAATATGTGTTCCTTTTTAAAGTGTTCCAAAAATATTGTTTGCTTATTTTGGTGTTTTTTGTACAGCAAAGGTGTGCCCTGCAGCTTAAGATTTTGGAATCTATTGGCTATCCAGCCCAGGGCTGTCCAGCCCAGTTTATTCACCTATGGGCTATCCAGCCCAATTTTTTGACCTATGGGCTATCCAGCCCAGTACTATTGATCAACCCATGGGCAGAGGTGAAAAACATGTGGGCTCTCTAGCCCAACTGTGTTGACCAACCTATGGGCTATCCAGCCCAAGGCTATCCAGCCTAGTCTATTGACCTTATGGGCTATCCAGCCCAATTATTTGACAATAGGCTTTCCAGCCTAGTACTATTGATCAACCCATGGGCTATCCAGCCCAAAAACATGTGGGCTGTGTTGAAACATTACTCTCCAGCCCAGAGGTTGCTAGCACGCCTTTTTTTCCTCCACTGGCTTGGTTGTCCAGGCTTCATCTGCCCAGAAACGGTTTCAGGCTGGCTACCTGCTGTACCAGGTTGCTGGGCTATCCAGCCCATAAGGGAAACACCACCTTGCTTTACTGTAAACTGTAGACATTTTACAGCAGTGTTTTTTCTCCAAAACAAAACATCCCAGCAACCTTTTTGCCTACAGTGCTGTGGCCCCCTTACAGCAAGTTCTGCTGTCTCAACTGGGGCACAAAACCACTGCACTTCCAAGGCCCTCTGTTGGCCTGACAGCTCAAGCGCATGCAGCCCCGAGTCACTTCACTTGCCCATATGGAGTTTTTGTTCACATAGGAGAAAAAGTTGCACTGCCTGCACAGCTTCAGCCCATCTCTGCTCTCAGCAAACCAGTCACACCTGGGCTGTGGAATGGTTGAACTTCAAAAAGATGTGTTTTAAAGGGGCACCAAAAAAACAAAACAAACATATAAATAAGGCAATGCACTGCTCCAATTTCTCCAGCTCAGAAAAGTCCTGCCAGTCCTGGGACTGAGAAGCATTCTTCCAGTTTTCCCAGCTGTGCTCGCCTTGGCTCTGATTCCACCATTCTGATCCACCACCATGTCCTCCATCTCCATGGCTTTGGTTTGCCTCTGGTCCTTGTGGTGCTTCAGCTCCCTTTCCTCCTGATCCATCTCCACCACTTCCATGTTCTTTGCCAGCTGGTGCTGCTCCTTTGCCACCTCCATTTCCTGCAGCTTGTGGTGGGGCTTTGGGTGTGGCTGCAGGTGCCCCAGGTGTGCCTGCCCATGGTGCCTGTGCAGGCACCTGCTGGCCCATTTGCAGCAGGACAGCTGTGTTCATCTTCTCCACCAGGGCCTCATAGAAGGTCATCTCATCCATTCCTGCCAAGGGTCAAGATTGAGCTATCCAGCCCAACAAGATTTTGAGCTATCCAGCCCAACATGGTTTTGAGCTATCCTGCCCAACATGATTTTGAGCTATCCAGCCCAACATGGTTTTGAGCTGTCCAGCCCACATAGTTTTTGGTTATTGGGCTATCCAGCCCAACATGGTTTTGGACTATCCAGCCCAATTGGTTTTCAGTTTTTTGGGCTATCCAGCCCACATGCATGGGTTTCAAAAGAACTATATATATATATTTATTTATTTATTTATTTATATTGATATTTATTTACTTATTTGTGTATGTATGCATATTTATATAAATATAGTATATCATATAAATATATGTCTGTGTATTTATATATATATACATATATATATACATATATATATGTATGTATATATATATGTATATGTATGCAGTCCTGGGGCAACTTTCTCCTTCACCTTCTCCAGAAACACTCTGTTGCTCTCCCAGTCACCTTTCTGCCCCACTTCTGGCCAGGTTTGTGAGCAGTAGAGGGACAAGTGGTTCAACCACAGCGACACAGAGATGTCTAGGTTGTAGTATTGCTGCAGCAGCCTCAGGTTGTCTCTCCAGACACTGGCTGCACCCCCCCCTCCTTCTCCTGAGGGCACACCTTTCCCACTCCAAGACTCCACATAGCCCTTGCCTTTGCCCTTGTCAGCCTGGTTGCCACCCTGCTGGTTCTGGTTGTAGCTCATGGCTGCTAGCTACACAGTCGCTTTTTTCTTGGGCCACAGGCTGGTGCAACATGAAATCAAACCAGTTCCATGCCACTAAGCCACTGCACAGCCAGAAGCCAGCTGCAAAACAAAGTTTCCAAATACATGGGCATGAATAAAAACTGTTGTTTCTTGTTTGGTATGTTGTAGGCTATCCAGCCCAAATTATTTTCCAGACAAAAATCAAAATGTGTGCTACCCAAGCTATTGTTTTGAGGCACCCAGCCCAACATGGTTTTGAGCTATCCAGCCCAACATGGTTTTGAGCTATCCAGCCCAACATGGTTTTGAGCTATCCAGCCCAACATGGTTTTGGGCTATCCAGCCCAACATGGTTTTTAGATTTTGGGCTTTCCAGCCCAATATGGTTTTAGGCCATCCAGCCCACAAAGTTTTTAGCTGTTGTGTTAATGTGTTTTCCAGCCCAGCATGGTTTGGGGCTATCCAGCCCACATAGTTTGCAGCTTTTGGGCTATCCAGCCTAACATGGTTTTGGGCTTTCCAGCCCATATGATTTTGAGCTAGCCAGCCCAGCATCTATTTGGGCTGGAGAGCTCTACATACTGAGCAAGCTCAGCTTTTTTTTACAGCCATGGTTTTGGTCGCCTCTGGGTCTACTCCTGCCCCAGCTTCAACTTCTTCCATGCCCTGGCAGCACCCAAGCTTTCACCACTCTGCAGCTTCTGCATGATGCTCTTGGCCAGCCTGTAGCTCTCTTCAACACCTTTCTTGCTCACAACCTGCAGCAGTTGCCTCCCCTGTGACAATCTTACTGCACAGGCCCCAGTGCTCTTGTACTCCATCAAATGCATCTTTTTCCCTTTCACAACCAGGTCATTTGCCAGAGGCTTCTGCTTCATGCCCTCTTTCTGGTTTTTGCCCTTGCCTTTGCCATTCTCCTGCTTGGAAG